GTACGACTGCGGAGAAAGTTGCAGCACGAACGAAGGCGTACAAGCAGAAGAGCCGCGAGCCAGTGCAGATGCAGCCGAAGAAATACCGCAACAAGGGCAAAAAACCTCCAGGCTAAGACCAAGTCATGGCTCATGTCGAATCAGGCGTGATGCTCAAACGAGCTGGTCCTTGCATCCGTCGCGATCACCTTCTCATTATTTTTGTCTTCATTTTGGCAGACGCCGAGAAAGCGATCGGAATGAACGCAAAGACGCATGCGTGGTGTACGTAGGTGTTCTGGACCAGCACATTTCCCTGGTTCGCAGCGTCGTATGCCTTTTTGCGGCGCGGATCTTCTTCCTTGTTGAAGCGAGGTACTTCTTGTCGACAATTCGGCGCCGTGATTTCTTTTGTCGTCCGTGGCTGCCGGGGCTTGTTCAAAATCCTGAGCTGGCAGCCTGCGAGCAGCGCATTATCCCGACGATGCAAACTCCCGTTGCTCAACTGGACGCTCGCAAAGGCCAGTGCCGCCTACAATGTACCGCACGAACGGCATGTCCCTGGTATGGCCCAGGAGCACAATCATGTTTTATTACAGGTTGTCGCCTTGTGCGAATTCGTGTCCAAAACAAAACGGGCGTCGACGAGCGGCTGAGGGTGGCTGGTCGAGCCAGCGATCGCGCGCGACCTGGAGGTGCTGCCATAGCGCCTCCACAGGAATAAAGTACAAGATCCCTGCACACGACGGGCGAGAGGTACGCAAAATACGTGGCAGTCACGATCCGCGGTATCGCTTTCGTTGCCGAAAGCAATATATGTCGGGTGCGCTGGCGCGTACCATCCCGCTACCGCTACCTTGGATCCTCCCACGCTAGATGATTGCGATACTTGAGCCTTCTAGGCCACCGCCTTTGACAGCTCTCATCAAGGTACATCGAATGGACGCTCTCCAATAACAGGTTTTCTGCGAATCCGCGGCGCGGATGCAGGTACAAAATGCGTTGCCGCCGTCGAGCGCTTGAAACGACCGCATTCTATCGTGCCACGTCATGGTACAATTTACAAGATGCAGCGATCTTTCAGGTATCCGGCCCATCGTCCGGATACGAGCCAATCGACAAAATTTTAATGCTGCGAGGAGCCTTCGTGGGCCGCCGGGCGGCCGTCGCGCTGGGCGCGGGCCTCGCCTCTGGTCTCTGCATGCACACGGGTCGGAGCCGCAACGACGAGCGCCCGCCATCCATCGTCATCGAGCAAGCTGGTACATACCAACTCTCTCTAGGTCGCTGCTGAGTCGTCGACGTAGAGGCCGCCGAAGCCACGGAGGGCGCCGCCACGCGGCACTACCCGTACGTGATTCTCGGCGCATGCACCGCCGCCCACGCTGCGATCGAGGCCATTTTGCAGCAGAGTCCGCTCGCCGACATTCTCATGATCAGCGAGGAGACCCACTTGCCGCGGCTCGACGCGACGCACGACGGGTCGACTGGCCCGCTCTCGAACGCGCTCATGGATTCGTACAACGAGTGGCGCCGGTACATCACGCCACGCCTCGACGACGAGCACGCGACGCCGTCCGTCTCGCTCGTGCTGGGCATGCACAACCTGCACGTCGACGTGGAGCAAAAAGCGCATCAC